AACACAGTCAACTGAGTTTATTTAATGTTGCTCGTATGTGTTTAGGGCTAATCTTTTGGGGTTTGGCTACCTCATTGGGGAGTTTATCCCCAAAGAAGATTGATTCGCCATCTCCCAACAAACATCAGTTACCTGTAGTTCTCTCTCTAGGGGAGGCACCTGTGAGAATTTCCCTATTGTTTTACTTAGGGTTCATTATTGTGAAAAGATACCATGACCAAGGCAACTCATAAAGGCAAACATTTAATTAGCACGAGCTTACAGTTTCAGAGGTTCAGTCCATTATCACCATGGTGGCAAGCATGCAGGCAGACATGGTGCTGGAGGAGCCTAGAGATCTACATCTTGATCTGAAGGCAGTAGATGGGGACGGTCTTCTGCACTGGACAGAGCCTAAGCACAGGAAGCTTCAAAGCCCACCTACACAGTGACACACTTCCTCCAACAAGACCACATCCTCCAATAAGGCCACACCTCCTAATATGTCAACCCCTATGGGACTAGCGTTCAAACATGAATCTATAGGGGACAGACTTATTCAAACTACTACATTCCATGTCTTTGGTCTCCACAGGCTTATAGCTATAACATAATGCAAAATGCATTTAGGCCAACTTCAAAAGTCTCCACAGTTTATCACAGTGTCAACAGTGGGTAAAAGTTCAAAGTCTCTTGAAGTGGTGTTATTCTGAACCCCCTCTCAACTTCCTGGCAGGTATGTGTGCCACCTGCCCCAATGTTTTGGATCCCAGATGGAAAGGCATACAAGCCTCTGTGTGTGTGTGTGTGTGTGTGTGTGTGTGTGTGTGTGTGTGTGTGTTTCATTGGCAGAGGAGGTACATGCACCCACTGGGAGTTTAGAGCGGAATAACAATTTACCGCTTCAGTCTCTTCTAAATGCAATCTCTTAACTGTAATCCTATATAAAATCAAAATCAAAAGCAGATCACATATTTCCAACATCACAGGACATACATTACCATTCCAAAACATCATAGTGAGGAAGTAATGGACCAGTGGAAGACAAAAACCCAGCTGGACAAACCCCAAACTCTGCATTATCATGTCCAATGCCTTTCAGCTTTGTTGATAGCAATTCTTTCTCTTAGGCTGGTTCCATTTTCCATTAGCACTTTCCTCAGCAGATAACCCAGGGGTCTGGCATATAGAACATCTTACGGTCTCCAAGGCAACTTCAATGTTACAGCTTCTTGTTCCAATGTCTGGGATCCACACATGATCTTCTGGGCTCCTCCGAAGGGCTTGTGTCACTTCTCCAACTCTGCCCTCTGTAGCACTCTAGGCTCTGGCTGACTTCACTCCACTGTTGCTGCTGTTCTTGGTGATCATCCCATGATACTGGCATCTCCAATACACTGGGGTCTTCCACTGCAGCTAGGCTTCACCAATAGCCTGTTATAGGCTCTCTTCATGGTCTTAACTTCTTTGTATGATCCCTTCAGTCCTTGGCCTTCAACTGCCACTGAGGCTGTACCTTCATCAATGGCCTTTCCTGGCATTTCAGAGTGCCAAGATTTAGCTGCTCTCCATGCCTTCAAGACCAGTAGCACATGGGTGACTCTTACACATTACTAAGTCTAGCTACCAGCATGATGTCTATCTCTGGAACGCAGCTTCTTTGTGCTCTCAGAAAACCGAAGATTTTGTTTCAGAAATGCTGGTCTGGTCTTAGCTCCAGCTAACAAGCATCAACTGTCCCACTAGCCCCTTCTATTCTTGACTCTAAAGTCAGAGCCATGTGGCTGAAGCTGCCAAGTTCTGCAGAACATGGCCCCCTTGTTCTGTTACAACTTCACTAGTGTTCTGGTTTTGATTGTGGTTTCAGGTTCCACCTCTCCTTTCAGGGTGTCCAGACACTGCCAGTATACCAGCTCAGAGAGCACAGGGTAAAGTCTGGAATGAATGAGTGGGGTCCACAGTCCACCTCTCTTCCAGGCTGGAAGGGGGAAGTGGAGTCTGGGACAAGCCAAATACTAGTTGGTTGGGAGCAAGTGCCAAGAGGGTGGGGAGCGAGAAGAGCTTCTCCAAGAATCTCAGTGTTATGGCTCTTTTAGGTGAAGGCCTTCTCTGATGATCTTTAATGCAGCAACTCTCTGAGATGATCTTATCTTGCTCATATTTCTTTATTAGCTGGTGGGGTGGGTTTGAACATAGACATCTTATTTGGGGTGAACCAAGGGTTATATAATTTTGTGGAATGGCATGAGACTATCTAGGGAAGGAAGGTCTTTGGTATGTAAGGCTTGGAGAGAAGGCATTCCAGATGTTGGGCCTGTGACAGGGAAGGGGCTGGTTCTACTCTTGCTGGTCTCAAGTTCTGAGACTTCTGGAGTTTGCATTTGCTCTACCTCACCAATTCCATGCTGGTTCCTCTTGTGTCATGATTCACGAGCACCACATTCGATGATATCCTTCTCTGACAGAGCTTGGCTGTTCTGGAACTTGCTCTATAAACTGATATGGAGAAACCTTGCTACTAAGGTCCATGTCTGACATTACCAGAAAGTCCCAAGCTCAGTGCAAAATGGCAGCCCCCCTTTACCTCCTCCTTCTCTGACCTTGTCTGGGGACCTCGAAACCCCCACACCCTCTTTTTGGGGAAGTCGAGTTGTAGCCTCGGTTAGATTACAGGTTTAGCTACCTCTTTTCTGATAAGAAACCTTTTGAGCAAGCACCTGAGATTCCTGAAGTGCCTCCCCATGCTAACGAGGTATCTCACTTAGCCTTCACCCCATGACCTTTATCCATCCCAGATATTCCTTCCCCCTTCCCCAAAACTATATAACCCTTGATTCACCCCAAATAAAGTTGATCTGTCTCCCCCAAGCTGATCTGAAATGTGATTCCAAAATGTGGCCACTTCCATTCATACTCATGGGCTGTCATCTGAAAGCCTGTTCATTGACTCTGCTCCCTTTGTCTTCCTGGGCCAGTGGCCAACAACCCCAGGAGTGGGTGGGGGAGAGGACCACAGACTGGCTTTGATATTAGAGGTCTGCATATCCTTGTTTCCTGAGTACTGGGATTAAAGGCGTGTACCAACAATGCAGGGACCTAAACTTTTCTTTACCTGAAACTTGCTCTGTACCAGGGTGGCTTTGAACTCAGAGATCTACTTGCCTCTGTCTCCTGGGATTAAAGGTGTGTACCAATTTGTCTGGACCTAAGCTTCTCCTTAATTCCTTTTCATAATATCTTTATAAGCATGACCAGTATGTCTCAAGATCTGGATCATAAGTGTGGATAATACTAATCCATTTATGGATAATGTTAGTATTCTGTCTAAACTCCACCTCCACAGTTATCTGGCAACACCCAGGTATGCTCCTCCCCACAGTTACCTGGCAACAGCCAGGTAGGCCTGCCCACTATAAAAGGGGCTGCTTGCCTCCTCCTCTCTCTCTTGTTCTCTTGCTCTCTTTCCTCTAGCTTCTCTCTGTCCCCTCACCTCTCCCTCCTTCCCTTCCCCGTCTCTCCACGTGGTCATGGCCGGCCTCCATTTCTCTCCTCTCTCTCTCTACTTTCTCCGACTTCTCCCATTTCTCTCCCCCGACCTTTGCCCTATCTCTTGAATAAACCCCCTCCCCTTTGGAACCATTTGACCTGTTGTTGTCTGTTCTAAGCTTCGAGCCAAAATCTACCACTTATGAACATGGTTTCAAGGACAATCTAGGCAAAAACATGGCAAATAATAGGCTGGGGAAAGCCAAGTCATGGCAAAACACAAAAGCTAACAACGTTAGCCTGCCTGAGGCTGGAGGATCCTGAGCCTCAAGGGGTTGATGGGTCCTGAAAAACTGGTTGAGTATCACGTTTAGGGGTCAGGAGAAGTGCTGGGATAGGGCATGGAGGAGACCAAAAGGCAACTCACTACAGGACCCAGAGACCCGTGCCAACGAACAGGGAGAACGGTAAGCCCAGGGCCAGTCTTCGGCGGGTCATCACTGGGTGCTGAACAGAAGCTGGGCACCTTCAGGGACCCCTAAGGACCTTAGGTCTGTCAGGCTCTGAGCTTATCTCACTTGAGGTCTCAGAACACCTGCAAAGAAATGTTCCAATTATTTTCTCCCTTCAGCTGACCTCAAGTTCCGTGGCAGCTAGGATGTCACCCCCAGGCAGAGGTTTATGCCTAAGCTCTGTCCATTCATCAACAAAGTAATAAAGGGCCACCTAGGAATGGACTGGGACAGCGTTCCCAGTGACCTCAGTTCATGGAGGCAAACTCTGGCCTTGGCGTTCTCCCTGCTCGTTGGCACAGGTCTCTGAGTCCTGTGGGGAGTTGCCTTTTGGAGTCTCCTCTATGCCCTTCCCAGCACTTCTCCTGCCCCCTTAATTTCCTAAAGCTATTTCTGGCCACCTGGGAGAGGCGGGGTCTGAGCTTTGCGACACAGGCAGAAGGTACTTCAGTAATCTTCGGCTCAAAGACCTTTTACTTGTTGGTTCTTCACCACCAAAGGGTTGGGGAAGACGTGATAATGCTACGGGCCACAGAGTATGGTGGGCCTGAAATTGGAGAAAGATCCCAGGTCTGGAGTCCTGAATGTTACGGCTGTGCGCACTCTGTTCCGGCAAACCTGTTCCCTCTCTCGCCCTCTAGAGGGCCCCATTTTCCCTACCCAGCTCGCTATTTCCCGCCCCACTAGCCTCAGGCTCGGGCTGGACAGAACTGCTCAGCAGATACCAAACTCAGATCCAAACCCTGCAGGTCCAAGAGGGGATTAAGTTCCAGAAGCTGGGGCGGCAGACAGGCACCTGAACTCTGTCTGGGCTTCTGCGGGCACCAGGACCACCCTCTTCTCCTCCTCCTCCCTCTCCTTCTCCCCTTCCTCCTCCTCCTCCCCTTCAACCGCTATGGTGGAGTACGGTGCAAGGACCCGGTCGGATAGGGCAGAGCAGATGCAGCGAAACTGTCCTCGGGAACACTTCCTTTGGGCTGACCAAGCTTTAGGACGGAAGGAGGAGCGAACCTCAGCCCAGAAATCAGGAACTGGGTTTCTTCCCAGAGCACAACTCCGCCGCCCAGTCGTCAGCACACAGCGGGACTCCCGGTCTCTGGGGCGGAGCAAAGTAAGTCTGGGAGTGGGCAAGTACCTCGCAATCTGAAATCCACCTGAGTCCCACCCATCCACGCCCTCAGCCTTGCTCTGCCTGTGCTTGAACCTTGTCAGTAACTTTTCTGTTCTTCCAAATCTGGCCCATCGTGCGGAGCGTCCTGCTCCTAGGCAGGAATCGTAGGTCTCCCAACACAGGCTACGATGTGAGATATGATTTTGGAGAAAAACTTACTTTCAGGGAGTCATGGAGAGGAAGAACCAGAGTCTCTGAATCTCAGAGTTCAGTCTATTGGCTCTGCTTCCTCCATCGGCCTATCGGCTTTTGGAAAGACCATTGGTTGTCTGCCCCAGGGTCTTAGAAGGACCCTCTGACTGATCAATTGTCAACTAAGCTCAGTGGATGCAGAGGACTCCTCTAGGAAGGAGCGTAGAAAATGGGGATGGGGGTGGGGCATCAGTCAGAGAAACCAGGCAGGCATGCAGGGGAAGAACGAATTCGGATTTTGTAAAGTAACTTTTTTTTTTTTTTTTTTTTTTTGGTTTTTCGAGACAGGGTTTCTCTGTGTAGTCCTGACTGTCCTAGAACTCACTCTGTAGACCAGGCTGGCCTCGAACTCAGAAATCTGCCTGCCTCTGCCTCCCAAGTGCTGGGATTAAAGGCGTGCGCCACCACTGCCCAGCGTAAAGTAACTTTTATTTGCCTGTTGTAATTGTCTCAGAGTCTTATTGCCTAAGTCTGCTAACCTAAATTTAGTTCTCGAAGCTTCTAGCCACTGTACAATCTTATCTAGGCCTAGTTCATCCTCTGAGACTTACTGCTGAATAAGCTCACACTTTCTTGTTCTTTCTGATAGGCTGGTTCAGCTCAGCTATTCTGGCTCAAACTACTCTCCAAGCTGGCTAATTCGATCTGCCTTCTCACTCTTGGCCTCACCTGAATGGTTCTGCTTGGTCTCATACTAACTCTGGCAATCTGTTCTAATCTGGCCCCATCTCATTCTCTGGCTTGTTCTCTCTTCAACCTGTCTGTATAAAACTCTCCCAGTAAAACTGCCTCCTTTCGCCGGGCGGTGGTGGCGCATGCCTTTAATCCCAGCACTTGGGAGGCAGAGGCAGGCAGATTTCTGAGTTTGAGGCCAGCCTGGTCTACAGAGTGAGTTCCAGGACGGCCAGGGCTACACAGAGAAACCCTGTCTCGAAAAACCAAAAAAGAAAGAAAGAAAGAAAGAAAGAAAGAAAGAAAGAAAGAAAGAAAGAAAGAAAGAAAGAAGGAAAGAAAGAAAACTGCCTCCTTCCTCCCATAAGCAACTTCCCTTTCCTTCTCTTCTTGTGAGAGTTGGGCGTATCTGTCAAATCTTTCTCTGGTTCATCCCTTTGTCTGCCACTTAGATACCACTTTCAAATATGGATGCTTCCTTCTACAAACTAACTTTACCTTGTTTGGGATTAAAGGCGTGTACTAAGGGCTGAGCCATTACCATAACACGATCTTGGGGTTCACACTGTGATCAAATATCCTGCAACAGGATTAGATAGAGATAGATTTGCTTGGGATCACAAAGCAGCTTGAAGCGCTGTGCCACAGCCCCTCCAGCTCAGAGCAGTCAATGAGCAGCTGGGGAGAGAGTCTAATAGTTCAGTGGATAAGGCTAGTGTGGTGGTTTGAATATGGTTAGTCAGTGAAAAGTGCTACTAGTAGGAGGTGTGGCCTTGTTGGAGGAAGTGTGTCACAGTGTTGGCAGGCTTCAAAGGCTCCTAGTGCTCAAGCTCTGCCCATTGTGGAAGAGTCAGTCTTCTCCTGGCTGCCTTCAGATCAAGATGTAGAACTCTCAGCTGCTTCTTCAGCACCATGTCTGCCTGGATGCTGCCATGCTTCCTGCCATGATGCTAATGGATTAAACCTCTGAACCTGTAAGCCATCCTCAATTAAACGTTGTCCCTTATAAGAATTGCCTTGGTCATGGTGTCTCTTCACAGCAATCAAACTCTAACTATGATAGCTAGCGATAGTGGTTGTGACTTTGACTCAGGGGGACTTACTACCAGCGCTCTCCAGAGAGGCCAGTCAGAGCGTTATTTAGTAGCTGATGTGCAGAGGTTAAGATCTGAAAAGGACAGAGATGAGGACAGAGATGTAGGATCAGTGTCATCTAAGAAGGGGGGATGTTAGGGAGGTAAGAACCTCTGTTGGATGTTGGACCACCTCTACCGTGTCTAAACCTAGGGGCTGAGGGTGTAGAGTGGGTACCCTCTGTTTGGATTGTGCCTGATGTGATTGATGGCTGTGACAGATGCTATAGTAAAGTTTACTAGTGACCCCTGTCTCCCATCTGGAGTGTCATGGATTCTTAACTAGGATATAAAAGATCTCCCATTCTGCATAAAAGATAGAACACCTTCTCCTACAGGACCAGTAAGGGCAGTCTCCATACGTCTTGGAACAATGTAATAGATAATAATCTCTAGTTTGATCATAAAGAAAGCAAGCATAGGGGACAGGTGTTTTAGAAACTGGTTTGGGCAACTCTGTGAGTTCAAGTCTAGCCTGATCTACAAAATGAATTCTAAGACAGCCAGGGCTGTTACACAGAGGAACCTTGTTTTGAAAATCAAACCAAATAAGTTGATTTAGGCCGGGCAGAGGTGGCAGTACAGGCCTTTAATCCCAGCACTTGGGAGGCAAAGACAGGTGGATTTCTGAGTTCGAGGCCAGCCTGGTCTACAGAATGAGTTCTAGGACAGCCAGGGATAAACAGAGAAATCCTGTCTCGAAAAAACAAAAAACATAAAATAAAAAAGAAGAAGTTGGTTTAGGTGTTATGGGAACAAGTAACTCTTTTGGCAAACTGCTGATGAGCAGTCTTGAAACCCTATCATGAAGGAAGTGTGGTTGAACCATTGAGTATAAGTTTCCTTGTTATAGGAGATTTGATTATCGTACATAGATGTCAGATGCTATTAGGTATGTCCTGTGGAAATGCAATTTGGGTGTGTCTCTAAAAGCCTCCAAAGATAAGAATGCTAAAGAATGGAAAGTTCCTGCCTATTTTAAGGCAATTTGCTTAGGAGAGCAAATGGTCTTTGCTCTATGAGTGGAGTCAAACTCAGTTGGATGGCCTTGGGATGTCCCACCCCAGGGTGAAATGGTTCAGTCCCCACTGTCTTGGCTTGGCGCCCCCCTACCGTAACAGGGACTTGGTTCAGCCTGTCAAGGGTGTAGGGTGTAAGGTGTAGGCTGGAGGCTTCTTTTATAGCAGTTGGACCTGTGAGAGCATGTTCTGTTGGCTCTCTCTCTTCCTCCCTCCTTCTCATCCATCTCTCTTTTGGTTTGGAAAAGCCTTCATGGAAGAGAGAAGGATTGTGTCTTTGGGCTTGCAGGGACCATGAAGCAGCAGCAATTGGAACACAGTGAGATAGTGTTCTAGAAATGAGAGCAAAGGAGCCCAAGAGAAAGACTAGCTCAGTAGAATGACACACAGAGAAAGAGTTTTCTAACGAACTAGCAGTTTAGTTGAAGTGGCCAAGCTGGATTTCAGGGCTCTTGTGAAATTATTGTTACATCTGCTCTTGTAACCCGCCAAGCCTCCAATCTCAGTTCCATCTAAATGTGATTTAAACTTTGGGCTCTTATCATTTATAGTAGTTTGCCAGAATATCTGGTTTCCTGGTATGTTTAGAATCTCGTTTTATCCGTAGAAGCTGTTCGATCTCTGTTGGTTTATTTACGTTTTCAGCAGCTCTGATTGACCTCTCAGGCTTTGATTTTTCTAGTTGTTTTTCAGAACAGTCTTTCCTCAGTGGACAAGAAATAAAGGCTCATGTTGTTTTTGCCATGCTTTAAGGGAGACCCCTTAGTCAGTTTTCTAGCGTTAAGGAATTCTTCCAATATCTTTGGATGACCTACATTCATGAGCTTTATGTCTGTTCCTTCCACATCTTCTACAGAAATGTTTCTCTGTGAATTATGGTTAGAGAGGAACTTATCCTTAGGAAACATGTCTGCAGTCCTTTAGAGAGTGACCTGATCATTCACAGCCACAGCAATGGGCATATTGTGTTTTTATATCTCCTGTAATTGTTTGTCCAACCACAAATGAATTGTGAGTATTAGATTCTGTATCCAAAGTAGTTTTAATCCATTCATAAGAGGTCTGGCCCTCAAAAGTCTAATATTCTTTCTGCATTCAGCATCAGCATTTTCAAAAACTATAGAGATTCAATTAAAATTTCTCTAGCAGTTGGATCTGATATTGTTCTATTCAGAGCTGTAGTTAATCTTTGTAAAAAGTCAGTGAAAGGTTCATTTGCACCCTGGGTTATCTTTGTACATGATTCAGATCATCCCAGTTGTTCAACCTGTCCCAAACATTTAAAAACATTGTAGTGTGACATTGTTCTAAGATGACATCATCAAGGGTCATGTACACTCTTAATTTAGAATACAAACCTTCACCTACTAACTGATCCTTGGCAATATCAATACCTCTAGTCCTATTTCATTGCTCCATAAACTGAAGCCTCATCTTCCCACCATTTAGCTATTGTAGTTGAGGGCCAGGCTCTAAGATGGCTGCCATCAAATCTCTCCAATCTTTTGGAATTATATTGATTTTTGCCTGGTCCAGTTATTAAGTGTCTATTTTAGATATGGTGAATGCAAGCTATCGGTTGTTACTGATTCCTTAAATCTCTTTAAGTCTTGTGCCTCTGTGGGCCACTATTCAAATTCTTAATAGCATAATAGACCCTGTTCATCTGGTTCCGCTTCCTTATCAAAGCTGGAAACATCATTTTAGCTTTCTTAACAGACACAGACTACTCTCTTTGCAGTCTATGGTGATGTAGAGTTTGGATTGTATTCATCTGAAATTTCTTTAAGGGATTATCTAAATTTTGTTCTATTGTTTGTAACTTATCAAGGACTTTTCCAGTCCTTTCCTTAAGTCGGCTTAAACTCTCTTATTCTGAACTCTCTTAAAAAGGATATATAAAATTGTAATCATTATGAAGATA